GGGAAGCGCTAGAGGAAGGAGAGAATAAGAAAATGAACGTGAAAAAGCAAAAAAGAAATTAATAGAGTAGATTAAGATAGTCATGTGCAGGTTGGGATGTGTAAAAATATAGTTAGATTTTCATTTTAGTTTACTTGTTCTCAACACGGTTTATTTTAATAAAGCATTTATATTGGTTAAAAATATATATATTGCATGTGAAAATTTGATAATCATTGTGTGGCGGAATCTTTCTATAAGATTTTGAAGAAGAATTCGAATATCTCCATAGCCGGACTCATTTAGAGCGCGTTCTTCCATGTAACTCTGCGAAACTTTATTTTTATTATATCAAAAATACGAAAAATAATTTCTTTATTGTGATAAATTTTACAAAATAATTTTAATAAAATATATTTAGAACTATAAGCGTTTTTGCCTGCTATGCCTTATTTTTCTCGTTCACAGTGGATACCACAAGAATGTGAACATGCTTATCAAACATAGAAGGATCTTCAGCAAAATAATCGCTCACTAATCTTATCCTCCGATTTCATATCCCTATATGTTTTTGTCTCATAATCGATTGCGCGTAGAGAAAAAGAAGCATTTCTGAATTTCTCATCCAAGTGATATTTTTGAATTTCAGATTCTAATGCGGTAACTGGTGCATCCTTTTCAATACTAATTACCAATTACTTGACATCGATCATATCCGAAAAATGTGCCAGTAGGGATAACAAGGAAAGCAACACAAATTAATTTGCTCATTTTCTATTACTGAAAAAATTTGCAGATAGGAATATTAAGATATCAGTACGCAATAGGAACTTTTTATATACAGAATAAATCAGGGGTTAGGGCATTGAGAAAATACATCCTGATATGTATTGTTTTTCAGGTGTCCGTCGCGTTTTAATATTATACGAACTTTTAGTTATAAGTGTTACGCGATCTTTTGTTTTTTAATACATTTTAGGGGATTGTTTTTTTCGGGTGAAATCATACAGCCCATATTGGATCATCTAGTGTTATGAATTTTTGGTTTGACATATGCTATTTTTCTTGACGCATCGCACAAAATATGATTATTATAATTCTGCGCAGTTAAATCAACATATAACAGTTAAATTAGACCCGAACTATGTTTCGGCTAAATTGCCCTGCATATCAGACCTAACGTTTTTTTAACGTATATGTTTAAAACTATTGATTAGCCAATCATCCTATATAAATACATCATGCGAAGCGCCTCTGGCTAATTCCCCTGTTAATCACGAGAGATCTACAAACTGAAAGTGACGGAAGAGCACCAGGGACTAACGAGGTGCTGAAAAGGAGCTAGGTGTATCATAATACAATGATGATTATGTTGTGTATATTGTCTCAGATCTAATTTAACTGAATCAAAAAAATCAGTTATAAATCTGTTTCCACCCCGAAGTTAATCGAATAAAAATGAATTTGGATTTAGCAGTGTATAGTCTCTCAAATTAGCTACAAATCAATTAATTGCTAAAAATCCTATAAATTAATAAAATCAGTATATTTTGCTAAATATGACAGTTGTTAGCTTGGCAAGCGCTACTAACATTAATATGATTATTGATAAAAAAGAATGGAGGTTTCCTAAACCCATCAGTAACCGTCCTGAATATGATATGGAATATTATAGAACATATCTCGAAAATTACTATGGTAGCATGGATTGCAAAAAATTTCTTGCTAATGAAAAAATCTATGACAAATTATCAATAATGAGAAAGGGAGAGTCTCCAGTGCAATGGGGATTATGAGTTAAAAATACTCTTCAATATTTATTATCATGAAATGAAAATAATATATATCATAGTTTCTGCTTATTTGCAGGAATTGGTGAAGGCAAATTTGACGAATCATATCATTCTTATTATCATCCTAAAATCCATAAAAACAATATGGCAATCTGCTTTTGTTACTGGAAACTATTTCAAGTTAATGAAATAAAGCCAACCAAATCATATCATTATAAATGGCATAGATTCATTGAATTGATTGAAACTAAAGACATGATGCAGGAACATTGGGACCAAGAATATTCTGATCCTTTAAGTGATCTTGGACGTGTAAGGGTTAAGGTTAAGCAACAAGCTTTTGAGCCACATTCTTTGACTCCAAATATACTATTTATCTCATCTCTGTATGCGAAATAAAATAACTTATTAACATTTATAAAACATCTTAATCAGCCAAAAGGTATCACAATAAGATTGAAAGATGGAGTAGAAATCACGATTATTTAACTGTTTTGACTGACTGATTTTGAGCAATGTAGATTATTACTTTTGACTAAATAATATCTCAACTAAATATGACGCTGCAATTAGTTGCAACCATAAGATGCTTATTTATCACTAGTTGCAACTAGTTACAATTCAATTTTTATTAATATTGCAACTAGTTGCAATCCTGTGATACTTATTTGTCACTGGTTGCAATCAGTTGCAGTGCCATCTTTAATCTTAACTATATTCTATTTTTTATGCCATATAATTTGCATGCATGATCACTTAGTATAATTGTGAAATGTATCACATACAGGATAAAATACCTGATTTGCTTATACTGGATTAGATTTTCTAATTTATAATTAAATATTATTCAGGAAGATCAATTAAGCGATCTTGAAAATTCTTGATTCCTAAATACTACTATAATTATAGCTTTGAAAATTTCTATATGACAGTTATCCAGCAAGCTTATAGGAATTACAAGAAAAGACCTAAACCTTTGGCAAAATAAATTTGGGAGATAGTGAGAAATAATGGTACTTCCAATAATATGAAGTTTTTAGGAGTAAAAAATAAATCAGAACAATCAAGATATATTTGTTATAGGGATGAGAAGCAATGTTATCCAATAAGAAATGATTGGATGTATAAGAAGATAGCTCAATTATGGATACGATTAGATACAATATTATACATACTTATTAGAAAATTATTATATTAGCAAAGCTATATACTTGTTAAAGATGCATATTGGATTGACATGTTAAAATAGTCATAAAATCATAAATATTATCGTATTAATAAAAAATATGACTTTGAATACTTTATCAAAATTTCAGATTGTAAGAAATATAGTGATAAATTGATAGAAGTACAATATATATGTAATTCACAATCATTAAAAAAATATAATATTCTAAGAAAGAATCTTACCATAAATTTCTTAGATTTAGATGATAATAGTAAGTCCATATGCTGAATTTTTCAAATTAGACCTTGACTCAGATTCTGAATATTGTATTAATAAAATAATATACTGTTCAGTCATGCAAGATGCCTTAAGGCCAATGCATGAAGGCATATACGACATAAATTAGCATATTTTTAATCCTCATTAATATATATATGATATAATAAGTGATACATCACAAATCATCTGTAACTCTATGTGACTACTTATGCAATAAATTAATTTTCACATATAAGAAATCAATTTCCAAAAAATATTTTGAATTTTTCCTTACAATATTTAGTGAAATAAGATTTAGTAGAATAACATTTACTGATATAAATATTTGCTTTAAAGGAATAGGCTCTCTAATACCATTGAATTCTGAATAAAATATATTTATATAATATTACTTGGGTCTTAATATTAATTATTGAGTGATCAGATATGCATTATCTCAATGCCTTTTGTAAATGTTGAGATTTTCAATGCACATTCTGCATATTTTTACTAACGAACATAAAATTTTAGCATAAAGTGCCTTGCATATTTTTTCCTATCTTTTTCCCAACATAGACGTGAGTGTAAATGTAAGAAAATGGTGATATTTAAAAGGGTGATATAAGTAATTTTTAGCTTTTTATCATTTATTTTGCTATTGGAGTTATCTTAGTATATTAATATTATTTTATATTCTAGACTAACTACGTAAATATATCTACCATAATGTATAATAAGATTTATGAATTCTTGATAACTGCTGAGAAATGTCAAATAAATGCTACATCTGTTATTTATCTTGAAATGAAAGAAAACTGCTGGGTTTTCCATATAGAGTTAAAATCAATTGTAGAATGAGCTGTAGGATCTGTTAGCAATGCATTTATAGAAAGTTCTTCTCATCAATTAAAAATTTTCAAATCCTATCATAGGTTAGTTAAGATTTATGCAAATATTTTAGCTTTTTATTATTATATGATGATACTGTGTGATCATTTACTAAAGTAAACCTGAATAAATAATTTGTTTTGGATTTGTTACTTATGTTCAACCTACCTATTCAGCTCACTTGCCAGTAAATACTTACACGTAATAAAGGGTGTATATGCTATAATCTGTTATGCAATTTTGTAGTTTATCCTACTAACCTATTATGTGAAAAGGTTATTACTATGTCAAGGGATGTATTAAGATATGAGTTATTATATTGCTTTATTAGTATCATATAAAGTTTTATCTACGTGATGACTACACAAAAATAATAACTTCGCATATGTACTGATAATTGTGTTATTTTTATGATAAGAACTACTTTTTATTTTTAAAATCTAATGTAATACTTTTTTTAGTTTAACATTGGCTTTAAAGATGTTTGTACTTTATATGACATATTGGTAATTAAAACGGATAAGGAAATTCTTTTTAGTTCATATTAGATTGATGATAATATAAATGATCTGAAAGAAAGCTTAGAAAAGACACTTCGCCTCTCTATCAACAATTATATTCTAAAGTAAATGCTATATATATTTAAAGCTTAACCTAGAAGGATCTTTTGGCCAGCCAAGTTATTAGTAATCAATCAGAAGTTATTAAGCAGTTATCATCAAATCTAAAAAAGTATTTAAGGTAAATAACTTATTAAAGGTTCTTTGAGAATAAATATAACATATTTTTTATATTAGAAATCTGCTTGGCAGATGACGTCTGCTTCTATAATGATAGTTAAAAAGATGTGTAAAAATTTTTGTAACAAATTTTGTCAATCATAATATTTAGAATACAATACCAAATAAACTAATTCACAATGAATCCTGAAAATAATCAAAAGAAAAAATCGCAGATGTTATAAAAGAAGTTTTAATTCTTCTAAAAGATATTTAGATTAACTTAACTTTTAATTCTAAATTTGAGAAATCGCTAAATGAAGAAACCTATCAATTAATAGTTATTTTATTGTCTATTCAAGCAATATTGAAAAATCTTCTTTTTAGACTATTCTCATTTATCAGTACTTCAGAATGACAGAGTATTGCTAGTGTGAATAGAAAAGGTGAAGGGCAGGTGAAAAGATAACCAGATATGTATGTAGTAAAATATTTAGATGCTTTCTTTGAGCTTATATATGTCAAATGTTCACAATGAAACTGACAGAAATTGACAGACCAGTCGTATATGACATATCTGCCAAAAAAGACAAACATAACTTTTATTATATTTCTATTATTTATATTATTATTATCATTTATATTATATTTAACATAATTAGCAT